GGGCGGTACATGCCTTATATAATTTACTACGTGGATAGCGAGATTTTTCGATCGCCATACAAAGTTAAAATAAAATCCCAAATCCTCCTCCTTTTTGGAATTTAAGGAAATTAATAAATTTTTGTTTCTTTGTTGGATCGATTGCAGCAACCCCAAACCTAACATAACGGTATTTCACATTATATAGCATTAATCATCTATAATAACTGCTAACTTCCTACCCTATCGCGTTGTTTTGGTGACAACATGGCCGGTGTAAGTCACGTGATTGAAACCGAGTTGGCCAAACTCTCTCTATCTACGGCTCTGATATAACACAGAATAATATAGAGATAGCTCGAGTTTTGAGCTGTACAGTTTGTTCAACATGTATTTTCTTATCTGCTTGTTTTACAGTTACCGTGTTTAGTATGCAATAAATCCTGAGTGAAATTGCAAGTACATACGAGAAGTCGCGAGGCCAGCACAAATACCTCAAAACGTTCGTCAAATTTAGCCTAGCCTCACCGTGGGGTAAACAGAAAATTCACAGGCCTATTCGAGGCTCTTCATACTGGCGGAGGCGATGTCGAGCCACTCTCTTTCTCTTCCTAGCGCGCTCGCACCTGGCAATATCCGATGAGATGAGTTTAAAAATTAAATAAAAATAGAAAAAAATAAAGTTTCTTCACTTTTTATTTTTGTTGTCAATTCTTAATATATATAAATATGTCATATGTGATTTTCATCCATATAGCTTTCATATTTTTGGCACAACAAAATTAATAATATAACCCAGACAGTGTATTAAGATAGCCTTTCCGCCTCCAGTTAGGGCGCCCCCAGCGTTTCAGCCAGGTCCAATGTAAACATTGCAAGGTGTCTATTAAGTTTATACATTGTTTAAGGTTTAAATGGAAAGGTAAATGAGCTGAGATCAACATTAGTAAATTAATTTCCGGGTTCGCAGGGATCCCAATCTCTACGGCGGCGCCATTCATATTATCGACGTTGGTTTAGTTTTTTTTCTGTTAGTTTCTCCACTCCATCATGTAGTCTCCGCTCGTAGGAGATCAGACGTTCAATCAGTTTTAATGCAAACTGCGGGAAAATAATAATATCGCTCTTATATAGCGTTTCATGCACAATGCCAGGTACCCACTTGTACTCCTGGGTGGATAGAGGCAACCGTAGATAAAGTGCCCTGTCAAGGACACAAGCGATTTGCACAGCGAGAGTTTCGTACCCGACCTCGAGGTTGGGAGTCCAAGCCACACCCTATGCGCCAACCGCTTCTACAACTCTCATTCTTCTGCTAAATCAGTTCTTTAGTTATACACTTTTGAATACAAGCGTATAAGATTGCCTAAGAACGATTTGTTATCCACCACCTGCTTTGTTTATTCTATTTTGAATTTATTTTGTTGTTCAAACTAGTGGCGACTCATTCAAAAGTAAAACGTTGTAAGCAGATGAATTGCTTATTGACTGGAAATGTTTTTTAGTGATGAGAGAAAACACTGCAACTTTGTGTCAGGAAATGAATTTAGGACATTGGGATTAAGTAATAAACTGCTACACCTCCCGCCATTTCCTAACATTGCAGCGACAACAATAAAACGACAATACATAATTCATTCAATACTTTCAATGCATATTCTATATTAAAGTTCTGACTACAGTACCATATTGAAAAATTCTTAGCCTGGAAGACATAAATATGAATAATTTATTATAAGCCTAATTAATGACTGTATTGGCCAAAATCTTGATATACAC